AAAACAAAACTTAATATATATTCAGAAGAATATGTGTAAACTGGATATGGAAGAAAAAAAAACTAGTCCCCCGTGTGTCACGGGCCACAAACAAATATACATATATATTTTCAAAAACGACAGCTATAGTTCTACTTTTAGAAAAGGAGCCCTGTTAGGTATATAAATCATTCAGGGTTTGCGGATAATTCCCCCTGGGCGGCCGTTATACTGCCGATTTTGTGTTTGCAAATAAGCGTTTTTTTAAAACCATATTACAGATTACGCTATCGTATCAACATTTTTCGCGTCCGATTTTTTTGTATTGGATACTTTTGATTCATCTTCAATTGATTCAGAATACGCAGGGCTTTATTCTATTGATACAAATAACAATATTTTAAGACAATTCTGATTTACAAACAACAAGGTATTAGAGACATTTTTTTCAAATAAATTTTGTAATATATTGTTACGTAGAATTAAAAAAAAAAAAGGCGCATTCCAAAATAGAATGTTTCAGAACGTTCAAGAATATTGTATAAAAATCAGAGAACAACTGATTGGCCAATCTAAAACGATTGCGCAAGGCTTAGCGCTGGCGGCTTTCTGATTGTCTGACCAACCATGACCGTTCTGGAAAGATCTACTCCGGGATATATAGGGATGAGGAACTCATGACAAGTAGTAGATGAACGAAGCTAGGTGGTATACTCCAATCAAGCTGCTTACCATCGACGCCGGTATACTTCCTGGAAGATTCTAGAAGGTTCTACCAACTTCTGTCTCCTGTTCTGCTCTTGCTTTCCTTCACTGTGCTGCAGTTGGTGAGTTTGTAACTGCTTTTTTCTTTATTGTTGTTTTATTTTTGCGCTCTTCTGTAATTATTTTATCGATTAGGCTTAACTAAAGTCCTAAAGATCCTTTGTACCCACGGAAGTTATTCTTTGTCAATCAACAATGCAACAATTTGCTGTCAGAAGTGGGATCTTTAGGTGAAGCCTGAACAGTTGATGGTACTTACCAGAAAAATGGAATAAATATTGAAAGCTGTCCAATCTATTCCCCTCAAAATAAAGAAACTCGTGAAGCTCTTCAAGCTCAAAATCAGGCTCTTCAGGCTCAAAATCAAGAAACCCGTGAAGCTCTTCAAGCTCAAAAACAGACTCTTCAAGCTCAAAACCAAGAAACTCATAAAGCTCAAAACCAAGCTATTCAAGCTCAAAACCTGGCTTTTCAAGTTCAACATCAAGAGCTAAAAGAAAGCTTGGGTCTTAAGTTTAAATGCTTAGAAGATAAAATCTCCTCTGTAAAAGAAGAAATGTAAGTTTTCCAACAAGAAAATAGCAATTCAGGTAGGCCTGTTGTCAAAGTTCCTACCTTTGATTGACAATCATCATGGACCTCTTTCAAAACCTAGTCCAATGTGCTTTTCCAAGCGATAAAGCAACCTTTTTGGCCGTTGCACTTCGTGGCCCTTCAGTGGAAGTTCTCAAGATGATTCCGGAATAACTTTGCCTAGACTTCGACTCCCTGGTTAACGATTTGGAGTCCCGATATGGAGAAAAACACTATCAACAGCTTCATGTAGTAAATTTTAAGAATAGACTACATGATAAGAAAGTTTGCAGGATTTGGCCTACGACATCCGACGTCTGGCAAGATTAGCCTTTCCAACGTGCCCATCTGAATAACAAGATTTTATGGCCCAACAACAGTTTATTGGTGCCTTCGGAGACCCTGAAACCCAAAGGTTTTGCCAGACTTTCAAGTGCGAATACTCTAAAAGAAACTCTTGTCCAAGCAGCTTTGGCAAACTGGTGTTGTGGCTTTGTCACCGACCCGAGGCCGCTAGTTTGCGGCGACGGTCAATAGATGGCGTCTGGTTTTAGTCGTCTATTTTGACGGGAGAGGAGACCCTTGTCTCTTTAGATCAATTTCCTCCCGGCAAAATTTTCATCTATATTTTAGCCATAGATTTGGCCCAGCCACTTTGCCAGCTAAACACCTCTTTGGCAGATTCTCAAGATTCCATTAGATCCCGTGTGGATCTCATGGAATAAAGTCCGCCCTAGGCTGACGAGGGCCATTAGCTCGAAACCATGGTCTCTAGGTGGACGCTTTTCAGTTTGCCAGAGCTGGTGTTATGGCTTTGTCACCGACCCGAGGCCGCTAGTTCGCGGCGACGGTCAATAGATGGCGTCTGGGTTTAGACGTCTATTTTGACGGGAGAGGCGACCCTTGTCTCTTCAGATCAATTTCCTCCTGGCAAAATTTCCATCTATATATATATATAGCGCTCTGCCATCTAAAAAGCACATGTGTTCGTGGTCAGGAGATGCCTTCTTTATTTTTAATATATTTATATATAATTAAAAAAGCTTTGTATAGGAATTGTCTTGAATTTTAAATTAGACATAGATTTATGTATTTGCTAAAAAAAGAACTATCATCGAAGGACTTCTTCCCACAATATATTTTGTGGCCGTTTTGATATACAGCATTAATGTAAGAAAATAGGTCAATTTAGGGAATTAAAATAAAGTGACTATTATCAAGAGGTAGATTTGTTTCCAGTGTAGTCTATGTCAAAGGAGGATCTATGCTCCTGGAGCTTATTTTGATTAGGAAGACCATTACAATTATCAATGCTCACGTTATCCATTTTTTTCTTCAATCTAAAAATACGTAATTCAGTTTTATTTTAAAATGTGTATGACTTTTTAATAATAAAAGCAACATATATTATCACTTTATTTTCAATTATATGCTCTTATAATGTTTAATGTTTTTAAAGAGTTATTATTTTAAAGGGTTTTATCAAGTGCCAAATTGGTCCTAGTACCTATTTCTATATACAGTAAAATCCCGCTAATACGAACCCAGGAAATAGCGAACCATACCTTATAATGAAACTAAGGCGATTCCCAATTCCATTCAAAATACCATCCTTATAACGAACTTTGAGATTTTTAAAATAACAAACTACCCCTATAACGAATATATTTTAGGTCCCAAAATAATAAAATCTATTTATAATACTATGCTTATAACGAAATTAAAATTGTAATCAAAAACATTTTAAAACAACAAAATTTTGAGCATGCTTCAGCTCACGGATCGCGATTTCAAAACAATAAATTTAGCGGTATTGTTTGTTCTTATTTACATTTATTTTTGCTGTATGTTGTAACCATTTTTGCACATTATACATTTTATTAAATAGAATATCTTTGCATCCATCAAATTTAAAATAAAAAAAATGCAAATGGCTTCTAAAATAAAGAAAACAAAGGCATTCTAAAAACAAAAACGTTATTACTAAAGGAAAAAAAGAGGCCATTTCAAAACTTTTCAAAGTGAAACAACACAGGTAAAATTTCATAACACTCATGTTAAAATAAGAAAATATAACTTTTATATTATAAGAGATAAAGTAGACGGCTATTAAAAATTGTTGCAAAGAGGAATCAACCTCAACTTTTGTCGCGATCGCGATTTACGTATTAGGGCTAAAAAAAAAAGTCCAAATAAACTGGCCAGTGATGAAACAAAAATTATTTTATGCCATGAACTATGGTGATTTTAAAGCAGCAATTTTTGCATTAGAGGTTTAAAAAAAAACACTAAATTTATTTGAAAGGTACAATGCTTGAAGAGTGCTTTGAAGCAACAAGGTATTAGAGCCATTTTCCAAGTAAACATTGTATTATATAATGTGATAAAGATGTTTTAAAATCATTTTATATCTTTAATAAATATATATTTAATAAAACTTTGCTTAGGATTTGTCTTGATCTTTAAATTAGACCTAGAGTTACATGTATACTAATGATAGAAAAACTTATCATCAAATAATTTATTTTATTATTTTGTATTAATGAATGAAATTGGTCAATTGAGAGAATTAAAACAAAGTAACTACTATTAAGGTGCAGCCTCTTACTGTGTACATGGCTCTCCTTTAATTATATGATCTAAACATTTTGAAAAGTATAAAAAAAAAGGCCAAATCGTGGCTATAGTGAACCAGAAGCTCTGTCCCATTGGGGTTCACTATAGAGGGGGTTTACTGTATGTAGATCCTGATCTATATTTGGGTACAGGATGAACCACTGTAAATGATTATTCTCTGTAAATTTATGAACTCTTGGATGCTCTCTTTGGTGAGTGGTACCTGGCTAACTTAAACAGGATAAATAGGTACAGTGTACTTTACAACATCCTAAAGGATCTGATTTTTTGGTTGAATTAAAGTCTGTGTTGATCGGGTAAGATAATCATTACTTTGTTGCAACATTCTCACTGCTAGTGGACATTTTTATAGGACATTTTGTTGTAAACACTTTGGGAATGTTTAATTAAATTCTGTTGAATTATAGTAGCTAGTGGACATTTTGTTGTCAACATGTATTAATCCCATACGGTATTAGAGCTCTAAAAAAGCGCGGTCTGGTAGATTAAATTGCCGAAACCACTGGAAGGGTTCACGACTGATGAGCCAAGCCCTCCCAATATTTTTTTTCGCAGTCAGGACAGTAAAAGTTTTATTCATGTGTGAAAGAAACATTCGTGTCTTAATGTTTTCATTTGCTGTATATTGATGATGTTTTATTGCTTTGTATTAAATTAAGGGAATGTTGAATTAAAGTCTGTGTGTGTTGAATTATATATGAATATCACTTTGTTACAACTTTCACTGCTAGTGGATATTTTTATAGAACATTTTGTTGTCAACACTTTACATTAGGCAATAAAATTGATCAAATTGAAAATATTTGTCTACATATATATATATAGTCATCAAAAGTCGACTTGATAGACACCAACAACACACCATCTAGTTATAATAAATAAAACTATTGAATTTTCAATTTGTCAATGAACCATACTTCCTAGTGTCTGTATTTAACTTGGAGGGTTTACAACTGATGAAACAGCCCTTCTCAATATTTTAATAGTAAAAATAGCAGGAAGTTTGATTTATTTAGGGAAATTTGCACTTATTAGTTTTCTAGCCTACGGCCACGCCACATTGAAAACACCGGTTCTCGTCCGATCACCGAAGTTAAGCAATGTCGGGCCTGGTCAGTACTTGTGAGGGTGACCACCTGGGAACACCGGGTGCTGTAGGCTATTAACTTTTGGGGGGTCGGTTGAAGGCTGATTAAACCGTTTGGTTTTCGACCACTACGACCCGGGTTCGATTCCCGCATTGGACACTTTTTTTTTCTGTTTAAAAAAAAATGCTCCAATGGCCCCCGATTCTAGCAAAAGTCCAACCCCACCAGCGAGTGCAAGTAACCAAACGGGGCTCTGGCACATTTGTAAGTGCAAAGTCGAACTGCTTTTCACATGTGTAGACATGTGGTGCGCTTACAGTAAAAGCAGTCGCTAACTACCCACCATGATTATGGCTTTGAGATAAAGAGTTTTCTTTTTATAATCAAAGGAACTGTTGAATTAAAGTAAATAAGATTATTTAGATATGAAAATTGGTTGAATTAAATTAGTTAAATTAAAGGTGGTAATCTGAAAGGGAAAAGGTTAGGATTTGAAAAATTGGTTGAATTTTTGTAAGTGTGGATTTCTAGGTTGAATTAAAGAGGTTCTTTTGTCAGCCTATTGCTGGGTGTGTGCAGACAGATGCGGCGGGACCTACCACATGGGGTATAATGTCTACAGCCAGGAACTCACCAGTCCGGACTATCCCAACCCCCCTCCCCCCAACCTGGACTGTGAGTGGACCATCAGTGCTCTGGGCCAGTTCTCTCTCACCTACCAAATAATCGACCTCAAGCTGCCATCCACCCCGAGTTGTTGGGGGAATGGATCTCTGCAAATTTCTTCGCCGTATAGTGAGTTGCTCTTTGTTTTTACTCTACTTTTGTAGCTAACACATGTTTACAAAATATATTAATTTTAAAATATATTTTTATTTATATATAAATTTAATACTTTAAAAATGTATGTAAATTATTGATACTAGATTGTCACAAATAAAAGGATATTCAGATATGAATCCGTTACAATTCTATCGACTGGCACATCTTTCTTTCTCCCTGTTTTCCACATATTTAGATTCCACAAGCTAGTTGTGTTGATTCATTTTTAGCTTCAGACTTCTTGGAGAAGTCCAGTCAAAGAAAATGGGAAGCATAAGTGTTTTTGAAGGGACAAAAGTGAACTCCAATCACATCTGGTGAATCTCGTCAAGTAGAAGCTTGTGGTATTTGTTGTTTTATATTTGTGGAACTATTGAGGCGCAGGAGAAAGATGATGCAAGCTCGATTCCAACTGGACAATCTTATTGGTGTAAATCAATCCTTTTTATTCTAACTACTAATGTTTTAAAGTTTTATTCTAATAACTAAATTTGCAAAATATTTAAACCCAGAGAGAAAAAGTCAAAAAATACAAATTTTACATACTTTCATTGCCATCACTTCACCCCAGAACTGAACTCCAAAGACATGTTCAGAAGTATTTTTTCCATCCTAGAACACAGATTTGAGATCGTCCACAGAGATTACAGTCTTTCTGTCATTTACTAGTAGTTTAAAGGTCTTCAGGTCTCTTTTAGAACTTTAAAAAGGGCTATAATATGGCAATAATAGTGGCATGAATACTTTATCTTCCGAAAGAACTGCTCATGTCTAGACCATATTTTTACCCTTTATACCCTTATCCAACTAGCTTTAAGAAATAAACGAGGTAAACGATACGTTTTCTTTGTTGATTTGAACAAGGGATTCGACACAGTTCCTCACGAAATACTTTGGAATAAATTACAAAAAATGGGAATCACCCCAAGGTTTATATCAATAATAAAAAGTTATTATGAGGCAGCAAAAATCTCAGTTAGATGGAAAGGTGAATACTCAAACAACGTAAAAATTGATTCCGGAGTTTTACAAGGAGAGCCACTGTCACCTCTACTATTTATCTATATACAGGGTGATCCAAAAGTCCCGCACAACTTTAAAAATTAATAACTCCGCGAATATTTGCGCTAGAGCAATGCGGTAAACACCATTGTGTTCAGGATGCAATGGGATTTTTTATGGCAAATAATGAAAAATTCGAAATTGATTTTAGTTACCACTTTATTCGCTAGATGGCGCCCTACCAGAATCAGCGATTCAGCGGCCAAATTGTTTGATAAATTGAAAAATATAACTGAACGACACGTATTTTTACTTTTTGAATACCAGGAAAGAACCCTAATAATATCAAATGACAAATTAATAAAACACCATTTCGCCAAAAGTTAGAAGAAATGGTTAACGATTTTTAAATACAATCTGAGATATGTAAAATAGGTATATGCAAATTAAAACATGTAGCAAAAAAAAAAATCTGATATTTTCGATGCGGTTTGCTGGAATCCTCTCAGCTATTTATATTTCGAAAATAATAATTTTCTATTTTTTAAATTCAACTCTCTCTCAGTATCGATTATATTTATTTTAATTCATTTGAAAAATATTTATCTATCTCTGATGATTTATTTTACTCTGGAATGCCGTTGTTGTTTTTGTCGTGTCCAATAAAGAGCCTCATATTCTTTTCGTTTGGCCAACAAAAAATGTCCAATTTATATACACATATATTCTTACATAATGAGACTTTAAAGAATTCAAATAATCTTCATCTAATCATATACACAACACACCTCCCCCCTTAATAATACTCCAGTCGGTCTAGGGGTTTCCTGGCTCTCTGAGGTCTAGGACTGCGGGCGGGCACTTGCACAGCGGCAGCCTCCGGTTTAGGAGTGCAAGAGGGCACGTGCACAGCAACAGGCCCTGGTATAGGAGTGCAAGAGGGTACGTGCACAGAAGCAGTCGCCTCCTCGTTTCCTGATGTAACCTCTGGAACCTCCTCTTCACTTTATTTCTGACTTCCACCTACAGGCTTCTCTCCTGATGTTCGAGGAAGTATCAAATTTCTTGTCTCCACTTGTTTCTTTCTCACAGGTCGCAATTGATTGATATGCCTCTTATACACGACGCCCTCGCAACTTATAAGGTAGTGACAGTAGCTCAATAATTCCAAAATGGTACCTTTTTACCGTTTAGGTCCAGTTGCATAGTTGCGGAAATAAACCTCGCAACTTGTAGTAAACTGCTCCTGCCTTCTTACGGCCTCATGAAATACCTCTCGCGGATTTCCCATCTTGATATTAAATTCGAGAATCTTGATCTTAAACTTCTCTTCATTAGCAGTTCCGCCGGGGAATTCCTTTTTTACAGTTTGGGGGAATGCTCTATGAGCAAATAGGAAACTTTGTAGATTCGTCTCTAAATCATCCTTCCCATTATTCTTTCTCAAAAGGTTTTTAAACTCTCTTACATATCTCTCAGCTAAACCATTTGTACTAGGATTATACGGACTGGTCTTAGAGTGCCGTATACCATTCATTTTGGTAAATTGCTCGAATTCACCGGAGACAAACTGTCTTCCGTTATCTGTAACAAAAAATTATGGCTATCCAATTCTGGCGAGAATTTCTCTAAGATGACTTATAATCGTTTTTATGGTAATATCTTTGATGATAAAAATTTCTATCCACTTTGAGTATGCGTCCACGAGAACCAAAAACATTCTTCCCATGAACGGACCCGCTAGATCAAGATGAAGTCGATGCCACGGTTTTTCGGGCCAAGTCCATTCCGAGATGGTAGCCGGGGGCATGCTTGCCGATTCTTGGCATACTCTACATTCTCTAGTTAACTCATCGATGTTACTGTCTATGCCTGGCCACCAGAAAATACCGTCTGGCAATCATCTTCATTTTAACAATCCCCATGTGTATTTCATGCAAGTCATTTAAAATTATATATCTTAATTTTTGGAGAATTACCACTCTTTCACGCCATTGAAGACAACCAAACTCCAAACTTAATTCCTCATTGATCTTATAATGAGGAGCTAGTGGGTTTTCTCTCGGTACCCTTGTGAATTTCCAGTTGCCTTCTCTAACATTCCTTAATACTATAGACAGTATTTTATCTTAGGGCATCTCATTAGCCACCTCCATAAAAGAGAACGGTACCTCATTCGACTTCCTAAGAAGAAGTACCTGGTCTTCATCAAGAGACTCCCTGACACTCGATTCTAAAGGAAGACGTGACAATGCGTCAACATTGGAATTATCACTAGTTTTTCAAAATTCCACAGTATAATTAAATGCAGCTAATTTTAAGGACCATCTTTTAATTCTGGATGATGCACATATGGGAAATGGCTTATGAGGTGAAAATATATGAATTAAGGGTCGGTTGTCTGTGACCAATACAAATTTTCGTCCCAGTAAGTATTGTCTGAATTTCTCAACGCCAAAAGTTATGCTCAACGCTTTCTTTTCTAGTTGAGAGAAACGTTTTTCCGCTTCAGTTAATGTTCTAGAAGCAAAAGCTATAGGGCATTCTTCCTTTCTATCATTTCTATGACTCAGAATTACGCCTAGTCCATAGTCCATTAATAATGATTTACATTTTTTAAATAACATTCGATATATTTTCGTCCAATTCCATCTACAATTTTTATTCAAAAGTTGATAGAATAGCGCTAAAATGTTTGCTATATTCTTTATAAATCTATAATAATAAATTAAGAGTCCCCTATGAAAGATCTCAATTGCGAAACATTCTTTAGGTTCATGCGCCTCTATCACTGCTTTAATTTTATTTTCTAAGGGATGCAGTCCATATTTATCCATTTTAAACCCTAAATATTCCACCGATTTCTTTTTAAATTTACATTTATATCTGTTTAACTTTAAACCTTTTTCTAGCAATCATCTAAACACTAGATTCAACTTTTGTTCATGATCTTCAAAGTCTTTTCCTGCAACCAAAATATCATCTATGTAGCAGGCCACACCTGGCAAATCAGAAAATAGGCCTTCCATAATCCTCTGAAATTTATTTGGTGCTACCGCTACGTCATATGGTAGTCTTTTATAAGAAAACAACCTCTTTGTTGTGTTTATATCAACAACAGCTTTGGCTTCTTCCGCTAACATTACTTGTAAGTGAGCCTGTGATTTTTCTAGAGTCGAAAGTACGGTGCTTGTAGATAATTTTTAAAAGATCTCATCGATCGATGGAATGGGATATCTTTCTAATTCT